AAATCTCCCCTGGCAGCTTTAGTATCCAAGCAGTTGTATGAGCATGGCTGCTTGAATACCCAAACGTTGCCTGTAGCTGATTGCCTCCAGGCACTGTTCGACCGACAATTTTCTGCTTGGCTCCTTTACATTTTCAATCGAAATATGCCACGCCAGGTGGAGCACACAGGGTCACCCACAACTTAAATTTTTGGTAGGCTAAAATTAGAGCAATGTACGACCTGTATGATCTTTAAGAAAAATACAGCAAGTCCAGTTGCCTTGACTTATTTTTTACAGATAATGTGTGACCTGGTTACACTATCACATGTATAGTTACTCTATACATATGTTGCATATGTGGTCACCTTGCTACAGCTGGCAGGCATCTGTAGCAAATATGAGTTCTACTCTCAACCTAAATAATTCAGGATGCTATTATTCTGAATGGATTCTTTCATTAAAAAAAACATACACCATCCAATTATTGCAAGCAATGCTATGATCTGAAACACTTCTAATTGGAAATTTGCATGTACAGCACAGAGTATAGTCTTTGTGACCATATAACAAAGCAGTATTAATAAAGGTATCCACACAAGACCCTATTCTCTTCATTGGTGATTTTGTACCTAATCTGCTGATAATCAGGTTTGCATACGGAGTAGGCAGGTTTTGAGCTACCTTTTGGATATTAAACAAATGGAAAGTTTGTTGTAGCTGTAAGCAGACCTTATGTGTGCCAGTATGTGGTCCTTAAAGAGACCTTTTTATGTGCTTTAAAGATTTCAGGAATGCAAATACTTATAAAGAAGAGGCTGTTTCAGATAACTTGCTCCCCCAGGTCTGGTGGGAAACCAACAGTTCCTGGAGTGTCGATCTCTGTGGTCTCTGAAGTTCCCAATGGTTCTTCTGTCTGATCTCATGTCACTGTAGAATACAGTAGTGATGTGAGGTGAGAAGTTGCAACCATAAGCTGCGGGAGACCATGGAGATTGACAATTCAGGAAGTGTCGGTTTCCCAGCAGGTTTCGGGAGAGCAGTGCTCTGCCTTGAGCAGTGCTCGCGGTAGGAGATGTACAGTAAGTATTCAGCCTCTCTAAAGGTTTGCACTTTCCTGAAAGTATTTTAGTACATAACAGAATCTCAGTAAACAACGTCTTTTAGAATCCCTGCCATACACCAGAAGATCAGCTTTAGGGCCAAAGCATTAGGTTTCCCCATGCCTGTGTATGACCAAATCTATTAGGGTCGGTTCACACTACTGAACAGTACCACAACAGGGTTCAGTGTGCATGATAACACAAGGCAATGCACGGTAGTGCTGTGGTGTGCACTGGTTTTCCAAAAATAGAGTCAAGAACGATTTTTGCTGCAATTAGCGTTATGGCGGATCCTTCAAAATAAATAAGATGCCTAACACACAGCACATTGCGGTGCAACGTAACCTCCTGCCAGGTGAAAAGGTTCACAATGCAACAGTAAGTGAGAGTAATTGTCTCAAATAAAGCCTTGGAGAGCAGTAAAAACCTGACAGAGTTTCTAATGAATATTCCTCCCCAACTCTTCCCCCAAAAAACAACCTATTATTAAACAACTTATGAAATCTTTTTTAAATCTGGTAAAACTTAAAGGTAAACTTCAGACAGATATAAAAATATAAAAGGCACACATGAATCAAGCCCTGCAATCATTAAATATATTTTTAAATGCAAGCAGTGTAAGTCCCTAATCTTGACTTGGTACCAACATCTTGCAGGCCCTGTACAGCAAAGCTTAAAGAGGAAGGAAGAAGCAGCACAAGGTATGCTGCAGCGCAAGGGGCATGCTGATAGAAGGAGAAAGCAGAGTGAAAAGAGATGGGTTTATCAGTGTGCTGCATCTCCCTTAACAGGGTGGGTGTGAGAGACCTGTAGGTAAAAGTGAAACTGCAACAGATCAGGTGCCCTCCGATACTAGATAGGTCTGTGCTGTGTGGCAGAGCTGTGCAAATTGCAGGCCTGGGTGGACAGAAGTACAAATCTTTTGGCAGGTAAAACAGTTCTCATGTATGCCATGTGAGTTTTTATCAGTTTGCCTAGAGTTAGCCCTCGTTCACACCTGAACGCTTTGTAGCGCGTTCTACGCTCGACGAACGCTCTACAAAACGCTCAAAATTAAAATCCCATTGTATTCAATGGTCTCGTTCCCACCTTGGCGTATTTCCACCCGTCCCTAACGCGCTACAAAACGGCCCACGCCTGAAAAGGTACATGTACTACTTTGGCCCGTTTTGTTGCGCGTTTCCATTGGGATACAGCCAAGTAGCCTTCGGAAACGCGAGGCGGTCGCGCAACTTTTTTTACCACGAATCGCAGTAAAAAACCGTGCGACGGTGGCGCGACAGATGCGCATATGCAATACGCCTAGGTGTGAACGAGACCTTAAGCTTTAAAGTTTATCTAAATCCATCCCTGTAAGGATTATACTGATGTCTGTGTCCATGCTCCAGAGATTCACTCTACTTGTCATGAGTGAAAAATACAAAATTTTAAGTTGTCACCAGAACAGGCATCGAGGGGAAATCTTTCAACGGTGACACTTGTTCCAGTGACAACTGCCTGAGAGAAGATTTCCCTCACTTTGGATAGGTTTTCTCTCACTTCCTGTTGTGTCTACAGGACAGGAAAAGGCGATCCCCCAATGGGACAAAAATAGCACACACAAAAAACCTAATGGGGTTTTAACCATTTCCTGCCCTAATCCCCCCAAAAATGTTGGCTCTAGATATACCGTAATGTATGAGATCACACACAGATCTAACAGCAACACAACCTATGATCGTGACATGAATAAATGATATATATTTTTCGTCTCCTTCTCCCAAGCACTTTGCCAGATGTACGTACAGCTCATCTTTGTCTTGTGTGAGTTGGATTGCACGCTCCACTCCAGCCATCAAGGTACCCCTCACAGGAAACCCAAACTAAAAGAAATACCAGACCTCTGTGAGAAATCAGGCACTCTGCCATCTTCTTGTTTCAAGCATAGAGGCTTTGTTTTGTTGTATATAGAACTGGCCACTAACAAAACACAAAAAGAAAGCCATAAAACGAAAATATACAGTTGCACGCTATGCTGAGCTCGTGCACACATGTGCAATGTATAGTCAAAGCCCTAGAAAGAAAAGTAAAGAAATAAAAGCAGTCCTGCCGCAGATCCAACACCTTGTGGAAGACCACAGGACAGATAGGAACGACCTGGGAGGGTAATGGTGCACTTTATCTATCCTTTGGACGGCATTTGGGAATCCTGTCTAGATCACATCCCTGTTACACGAGGGGAAAAACAGGAAAGCCAAAGGCGACCGGAATTGACGAAAACTTTTTCAGGAGGCTTCCAAGAAACTTTTTCAGGAGGCTTCCAAGAAGTCAGGAAAAGTTGAGATCTATGATAAGTCCTGTGCATTAGAACGCAACCAGAAACAGCATCTTCCCCACACTGGAGGGACTGAATCACAAAGGTAGGCAGTCTCCCAGGCCACATCTGTGTGCACACAATGATCAAGTGCTCATTTCAAATTCACACTTGAGCGTTTATGGGCGATTTTGGAGGTTTTTTACGTGTTTCTGCGCAGGCATTTTCAGGCTTGACCATTTTTGTTTTAGTCAATAGAAAGGTAGGAGACGGAAAACGTTGTTAGGTGCAAAATCACATGGAAAATGTGTGTTTTGTAAGCGCTCAGTCCTGGGATACCTCCTATTATACCTCGCTCTGACCTCTTTTAATATACCCCGCTCTGATCTCCCATTATACCCCGATCTGACCTCCCTTTATACCTTGCTCTGAACTCCCATTATACCCCAAACTGACCTCCCTTTATACTCTGCTCTGATCTCCCATTATACCCTGCTCTGACCTCCCATTACACCCCGCTCTGATCTCCTATTATACCCTGCTCTGATCTCCCATTATACCCTGCTCTGACCTCCCATTACACCCCGCTCTGATCTCCTATTATACCCTGCTCTGATCTCCCATTATACCCTGCTCTGACCTCCCATTATATCCCACTCTGACCTTCTGTTATACCCTGCTCTGACCTCCCATTACATCCCACTCTGACCTCCCACTATACCCCGCTCTGATCTCCCATTATACCCTGCTCTGACCTCCCATTACACCCCGCTCTGATCTCCTATTATACCCTGCTCTGATCTCCCATTATACCCTGCTCTGACCTCCCATTACATCCCGCTCTGATCTCCCATTATATCCCACTCTGACCTTCTCTTATACCCTGCTCTGACTTCCCATTACATCCCACTCTGACCTCCCACTATACCCCGCTCTGATCTCATATTATACCCTGTTCTGATCTTCCATGATACCCTGCTGACCTCACATTATACCCCACTTTGACCTCCCATTATACCCTACTCTGACTTCCCATTATACCCTACTCTGACCTCCCTTTATACCCTACTCTGACCTCCCATTTACCTCACTTTAACCTCCCATTATACCCCATTCTGCCATCCCATCGTACCCTGCTTACCTCCCATTATACCCCACTCTGTCCTCCCATTATACTACACACTTAGCCACCACAGTGCAAAACCACAATACAGAGATGCCCATCACTATACAGCAGGATGGCAGCATTGAAGTCAAGGGGCCACGCGTGATTATGCCCGAAAAGAAGCTCATGTACTTTCTCAAGCTACAGACAACAATGCCAAGGTGTGAACGGGCACCACTGAAAATAATAATATTCTTCATTCTTTCAGTAAACACACAACACAATGCTCAGGTGTGAATGAGCACCATGGAAAATAACAATCATTTCATCGTCAATCGTGCTTTGTGGTGCTTCGGGAAATACACAACAAAGCGTTCAGGTGTGAAGGGGGGCTTTCTAATAACACAGAACAGAAGGCACAGCAAATATTGTCATTCAAGGAAGAATACATTGGGCAAATCTTTTTCTTTTGTTTACAGTTTAAACAAACAACACTTGAAGAAAGGGGAGCTGAACTGACCTCAGTAAAGAAGTGATCCATTGTTTACTCCAGAGCAGGCTTCTAGCACCATGTACTACACGATGTACTACTATACATGTGTTATTCCATTCCTCTCCTCCACGGACCTGCAAGGCACCTTCATCAGCACTCTTTGTTTTAGGTATCCTCAGTGGAGTTCAGTGGGATAGATTCTGCCACATGCTCCTCCTGTGAATTAAAGGATCCTTCCACAGTTGTGTCTGCAGAGGTAAAGTTCCTCTGTGAAGTCCAGGATGAAGTTGAAGCAGTTTGTATCAGTGGAGTGTCCCGGAGCTGTGTCGCTGCCTAGGCTGGCTCGCAGTATACACCCCCCTCCTCCTCCAGTCCCAGTATGAGATCCCTCCCCCGGAGTCTGCCTTCTCTGCCTATCATTACAATCTGCCTTGTTCTCTGCACACGTCCTTAAAGCCCTACAACAAGAAACTCCTGTCAAAGGTGTGCTTGTGGCTCTCTGATTGTCGCCTCAATTAGTGCCATTCAATGGCTGAGACTTGGAGAGAATGAGGCAGTGTGTGAGGAGAGGGACGGGAACAGCTGGAGGAGCCCTCCAAGGCAAATCTATCCATCATCATCATCGTCCTTTACACGGGAATGCATAGAGCTTTATTCTAAGGGGGCTGCAGTTGTTCCACTTTATTAGTAATCATATAGTTCTCTCCTTTCCAAACATTATAAGAAATAACCAGCATTATAACAGCACTTTATGTTTTTCTGAGGTGCCAAATCAACATGGGGGGAATTTATCAAACCGACACAATCTGGAGCAATTGCCCATGGCACCCAAATAGGCTTTTCTATTCAATTTGTTCAGTTAAAGTGACATTAAACCCTCAGATTTTTTTTAACATAAACCAATACTGTAATGTGCGCCTTACTGTAATCCATGGTTGTTTCCCTTCTCTTTGCTGCTCTTCCTTTTAAATCTGTATCTGATCTCATGCTGGGCAGAACTTCTATTTTGCCGCAGACTGCCTTGTCTTTGAAAGGGATACATGGTGTCTGTGTGTAGGTTTGCAACCTGAGCCAGCACTACAGGAAGAGGCAACCAGGTGCAAAGGGAAGTTCTCCCCAAGCATGAGAAGACATGAGGATTTAAAAGGAAGAGCAGCAAAGAGAAGGGAAACAACCATGGATTACAGTAAGGCACATATTACAGTATTGTTTTATGTTAAAAAATCTGAGAGTTTAATGTCACTTTAAGCTTTGAAAATTAAAGAGAGAAGCTGATTGGTTGCCATGGACAACTTCTCCAGATTCTGCCTGCTCCAATTTTGGTAAATTCCCCTCCATATTTGGAGCTTGGAGCTTTGACTACTTTACAACACACACAGGGACCATGGGGAACAAAAGTAGCCACTCTCTAGAAGGAAGGACGGTGACAGCACCAATTCAGAGATGATTTGAGGATCTACAACTGAGTGAGATACAAATAAGATACATTTTTGTTAATAGTTCAAATAGTATAGTTTACACCCCCTTCTTGTCCAGGCCATTTTTCAGTATTCAGCACTGCAGTACTTTGACTGGCATTTATTCAGTCATGCAAAGCTGTACTGAATTTATTTTTATACCATTTTTGTGGGACAGATAGAGCTTTCTTTTGGTGGTTTTTAATCACCACTGGGGGGGATCTCTGTCTGATGCATATCAGAGGGCATCTCTGTCTGCTGCTCATGTGGGGGATCTAATTCATGTCAGAGGATGTGTTGCCTCTAGGGGGATCTGTTGCCACATCACCATTGTGGTTGCTCGCAAAGGGGTCTATGGTGGGCTATGCTGACTCACAGGTGGCTTTGCAGGTGTTGTGGTGGGCTGTGCGGACCCTTAGGTGGGCTACGGTGGGTTATGTGGGGATCTATGGTGGGCTAACCATATGTTGCTGTATAATGTATTGCGGGGATTTGTAGTCCTCTATAGCTGGTGTAATTCTGCATTACTTAAAGCCTGAAGACCCCCAGAAGGGCGCTTGGGTGAATGTTCTTATCTAAGACATGGGGGGGATTTTGTTCTGCCCCGGGCGACTGTAGCTCTGGTTACGCCATTGCTAGAAAGAAGAAGATGATCAGATCAAGAGGCATCATTTAAAGGATAATTATGAGGTGAGTGATTTTCACTCATCCTCATAGTTAGAGCCGACGTGTGACATTAAAACTCTCACACGTCGACTCTATAGATTGGGAAGTGAGTGAACACAAACTGTCGCTCACTCACTTCCCGGTCATCTCCCTGCAGAGCGCGGTGACTGTCAGTCACCGATCCCCGCAGGAATTACCCCCTCCCCTCTTCAATCCTCCAGTGCTGACTGGAGGAACAAACAGGGGAGGGTGCGGGCATAGCTGGCTCTGCTTCTAGATAGGCAGAGCACGCTACCAATCAACCAGCTGGGTGGATCACGACACTATTGTCGGTATCAGTGGCGGAACAATCACCATAGCGACCCAGGTGGCCACTATGGGGCCTGGGACACAGGGGGGCCCAGCCAGGACATCCCCCTGATGCAGTGCAGGCCTCCTGGGTCGCTATGGCATCTCAAGCTGCTTGCTGTCACTGTCGGCTGTGAGGAGGAACGTGCAGGAACGTGTCATATGGGCTGTTTGGGATATAAGGTGGGTGCTGCAGGAGGCGTAACTAGAAATCACAGGGCCCCATACAAAATTGTGCTATGGGGCCCTATGATTTCTAGTTATGCCCCTGGTCCCAACTGCGGCGCTCTCCGTATATAGCGGGCAATGTGAGTGCATACATTTTTGTACAGCAAGTGTTTCCCTATTTTGCCTAAGGCAGGGATGCTGAACACAATGCCAAACTTTTTTTCAGTGTTTTGAGCACTTGAGGTAGATAAATTGATTTTGTGTTGCAGTTTGGGCACTCAGGTTCAAAAACGATAGCCATCACTGGCTTATCCTGTCCCCTAGGCATACACAAGTAGGTAATCCTTGCAGTGCTGGTGTACCCCACTGCAAGGAAAAACTTTTACTATCCCTGGAGTTGGGTTCTTAAAAGAAATAGAAAATCAACAGGTCTACTGGCAGCACCAAACGGTAATAACATTATATTTTCTGAAAGTTTGTTTAATTTTTCTAATAGTTAATGGGATCAAATCAACGGTTGTTTTCAAACATAGTGATGAAAAAAATTGAAGGAGCAGGATGGAATTTTTTTCTCGAACGAACAAAATTCTAACAGTGAATTTGGTTTTCAAAATGGAATGTTAAAATCACACAAAATTTTGAACAACATTCATTAACCCTCTAATAACATTTCTTTCACTTTGGAACAATTTCTTACTTCCTGTTGCATCTGCAGGATAGAACTAAAGTGAAATCTCTCCCATTATGGGAAATCAGAGCGGGGGTATAATGGGAGATCAGAGCAGGTATAAAGGGAGGTCAGATCGGCGTATAATGGGAGATCAGAGCAGGGTATAAAGGGAGGTCAGATCGGGCTATAATGGGACATCAGAGCGAGGTATAATGGGAGGTCAGAGCCAGTCACACAGATGGCAAAAAAACCTGATAAGGGTTTAGTGTCATTCCTAGCCTTTTTGCTGCCTGGGGCTTTTTTTTTCAGTCATGTTCTTGGTTGCCAGGAGCTTGGCTCTTAGCTTGCTAAGAGCAGAGAGGGGAGATGTGTATGGCCCTTGGGATGCTCTGGCCAGAAAAGGAGGCAGCAGGCACACTGCAAACATTGTGTCTGCCACCACTCATCATGACCCAAAGAGAGGTTGAACTGGATGGACCCTGGTCTTTATTCAGCCTTACCTGCTATGTTACTATGTTACTATGTAATAATGCATGGAACTTGCTAACCTCTAGCCAATTCATTGTCTGTTTGAAGCTCTTTGGTAGTTAGATTAGCCTTCTTTTTATGAGATTTATGATCTGGTCAGAAATGATCTGAAGCCACCAACAAGGAAAAACAGGCATTGCTGAAATTGTGCATGCTGCTCACAGCTTTGCATGCCAATGGGAATGTATTGTAAGTTTTACTTAAAAGTAAGTTATGACAATACCAAATTCCACCAGCAAGCAGAGTTGCAGCAGTTCTGATGGTAACAGGTCCAAGACCTGAAGCATATAGCAGGAAATACAATTCTGGTGTTCCTGTTGCTAAAAAGGTCTACAGACATCACTGATGCTGATATTAAAAAATACAAAATAAATACAAAGTAACACATACAATATATAATGTGATGCAAAATAAAGATTTTGGAAAACGTTGTACAACATTTAGCTCCCTCTTAGGGTAAAACATTCCCTAAAACCAAAAGCGCTGAGCATTTTGAAATAATAACCACAGGCATTCTATTCTGCAGTTTCATTGGCAGAGTTAGGAATGTTTACAGTTACCTTGGACTGGAAAAATACATTGTGAAATATTAAAAAATGCTTATTCTATGCCCTGTTATCTGGGGGAAAAAAGTATGGAAATGATACAGCTGGCTGTATGGCTCGTACATTTGTAATCAATTTGTTACATAAAAACATTTTTTTTTAAAATCAAGTAAAAATATTTAACATTGCTAAATATACAGTGTCCAAAAAGTCCGAATCCATAGGTATCATTAGAGATCATCTTTTCCATCCCCAGGAACCGAGATCTGCTACAATAACCACTTGCCATCCAGCCAATTGTAAATAAACAGTCGGACGGCTGCCGCATAAGTGCGGGTGGCCATTTATAATTGCTCTTTCGTGTTGACAAAAAAAGCCTTTGTTTATAGAGCTGCCCCATTGCTTGTATGGTGTGGGAAGGGTGAGGAAGGGGTGCAGGAAGTGTGTGCCCCCCTCCTTCTGCTGCTGCTGCTGGCTACCCTGGGCTCCATGCAGGCCCAGGACTGTCACAGCGGGTCTCTGTGGCTGGATCAGAGGGGAGATCAGCACATTCCACCGGCTGAACTCCCCTCCGATCACTGAATGCAGAAGTGATGTGAAATACCTCACTTCCGCTTTCACCCTGTCATTTCTCTGGCTGCTGTAGCTGGAGAAGAAGCTAATGAATCAGATCTCTGCCTCATTAGCTTTTTAAATTAATGTC